GACCAACCCAAGTTGGAAAAACATCCATATATATGCAAAAAAACAAGGTACAGTTCTTATGCGTGGTCTATGTAAAGTATACCCGGCTAGTATTTCGAGCGCGCTAGGTCAAACAATCTTATTTAAATCCACAAATTATTACTTAATTCTTTAATAACGCAGTAATTGTGGTGGTAAAGAGGTAAATGTACAGACCGTCAAAATTGGGTTGAATTTGCCATGTATTCAGTGTTTGAACTAAAACGAATTTACATACAATATATATATGTTATTTACCGGCTGCGAGGTCCGGATGAGAAAAACTGTGCCCTCGGTCTTGAAAACGTCCCTCGCCCGAACTGTGCCCGAGGTCTTGAAAACGGCCCGAGCCCGAAGGGCGAGGGACGTTTCCAAGACCGAGGGCACAGTTTTTCTCATCCGGACCGACGCTGCCGGTAAATAATGTGTTTATTTTTTATCAGATGTAAAAATTAAATTGATTAAAATTCCAGTGTTGCTTGCGAACTAATTTGAGATCAGTGCAGTTGTGTATTTTCAAAGCGAGGCTGACAAAAATTGAAAAGTTAAAAGATATAAAACACGAATACGAAAACTCGAGAAAACTGCCAAGAAACACACAAAAAGACGTATAGTTTCAGTAAAAATGTACATGCTTTTTCATGAATATGGTAGCAGAGAACTGAGAGAAGCTTTGGAATAAAATCTTTTTATTGCTGGCGTTTTGGCTTTGGCTTTGACAAGTTGCTCCTGACAACGACAGGTTCATGTTCAGATCCGATCAAAAACATGTAAAAATGAATCTGCTTTGATTTAATTTAATTAACGTTTTTCTACTAAAAAGACAATGAAAAAGGTATGTTATTTTTATATTTTTGTATTTTTCTTGTCGTTTCACGATAACATGCTTGAAAAAAGTGTTTTTAAACACAAACTTTTACTTTGTTTACAATATTTATATCAGCGAAAAATACATGACACAAATGGGTAGAGAATATATTCGTGAGTTGTTTTCACTGCTGCAGTTAAACCTTCTTTTAAATGGGAAAACATTTATTTTACAATATCTGTTTAAGCTGTAATTTTTTCGCTTTTAAGTGGCCGAATACATGAGCATTTAAAAAATATATAGTTTCCTCGACGTAATTTTTATACATGTCAACTACTTTCCGACTTTCAGTCGCATTTCAATCAAAGTATTTCCAATTCTCGTGAACATCGTGCTTAGTATGAAGCCTTTAGGGCTTGGTGCAATTCATTTTTGTATTCTGACTATCGTTAGGCTATGTTTTTCAAACGTTTTTGGCAGATTTTTTCGTTTAAAAATTGTTTCACTCCTCAGTTTTTGCCGCGAAAACCAGAGCGGGCAGTTGCATTTCACAGCGGGCAGTTGCGTTTCAGAGCGGGCCGGATGCAAAAAACCGGCCCGCTCTGAAGGGCTCCTCAGCCAATCAGATTGCTTCATTTTCACTGATAAAAAATAAATATTGTTATTATAATGAGTTTCACAGCCATCTTCCCTTCGATAGACTATGGGTAAACTTAAGGGATTATATTTTCCAATTTAAAACCAGTCGACCGCGCGGGAACAAATTGTTCTTTGACTAACTTTTTGCATATTCAAATGAATTCTTCTATATGTAATATATTTTAATTCTTTCAGTTTCAACTACCGGTTATAGTTCAGCTGCAATTTATCCCGATCAGCGAAATGAATAACTGGAAAGGCCACCTTCGGACAAACAGGATATCATTTTCTTCAAGCCAAATCTGACTCGCGTGTTTATTCTTCGCGATTCTTTCGCGAGTCGTTCAAACAAGAAAAAACCAAAAGTAAAGTCTACTAGGAAGTCTTACCTGCATGAATAAATGTATTAATTATTATTATGTTTCCATGCAGTGCTGTTAAAAAGGTTTTTTTGTAAATCTTAAGCCAGTTTTCAAGAACACATATTCATGTTGACGGATTAATTAACCGTGCCATTCAAGTTTGGCTTAAAATTTCCAGTTAGAGGTTTTCAGTTAGAGAGTTTGAGCAAGACAACGAAGTACGAAGACGAAGGCGTACTTGACAATTTTTGCCGTCTGCACATTATCTTGCGCATACTGAGTTGGACGTCGTTGGTGGTTGCTCAGCGTGTCTTCCCATGTGTCGCTGTTTGTGTGTACTGACTCTAATTCTTGCCCTGACCCAGAAGAAAACAGCGAGACATGAAACTATATCCTGTCTTTGTCCTTCTGTCTTCGTTCGGAATGAAGTTCACAACAAATTTTGCCAAAATATTCGTTGTGAACGAAGGCAGAAGAACGAAGACGGGATATGGATTCATGTCTCGCTGTTTTGTCCTGATCAGGGTAAGGATTGGGTCAGCATTCATAAACAGCTAGACATAAATCTCTGAATCTGTCTTTACCCCTGACCCTAAACTCAGAATGCGCAAGATAATGTGCAAGACAGGCAAAAATTGTCAACCACGTCGTCGTCGTCCGACTTCGTTCTCTTGCTTAAACTCTCTATTTCACTGATCCCGACGCGGAACGTATCATTTGGATGTGCCGTTGGAACTCTGAATTGGCTTATTCTGAGCATAGTATACCTTAATGACACATCTTTTGCACGCGGTGATTGATCCAGCCGGAAACTTGGCGATACGGTTGGCGAGTTCTTCAACAAATGGTCCGATCTCGTCTGGATTTAGAGCGCGGTTAATGGAGCCATATCTCTCCGCTAAATCAGCATCAAAATCGTGAGCTGCGAGAATTATCTCCATTGCACGACCCATTCCAACTTGACGGGCGAGACGTTGTGTGCCTGGCAATGACAAATTGATTAGGTATTTACGTCTCAACGACAATGTCAATCTCGTTCCCCGAGCATGCCCGTTCGCAGGTTAAGGGTGGGCATAGCTCTGGAGAAATCGAATTGATTCAGGCCTGTGATTGGCTAACGGCAGATAAGTACGTTGGATTTCCAACGTGAGTTCTACGCATGCTTGGCAATTGCAGCAAAATATAAACAAAGTATTTGGAATTTCTCGTTACACTTTACTTTTATTTACACTGAAATCGAATTGAAAACAACTAGAAATTCTGGAGGAAATATGTACGAAAGCTTCGGATTGATAGGGATACGACTACCTGAAAAATACAAGGAGAACTTCGACGTTTCAAGCGAAGGCGCTTCGACTTGTACTGTTAGTGTTTGTATACATCGTACTTGACCTTTTATATACTGTCATATGTAACACTACGCATACCATAAATTCTGACAGGAGAGTTAGTGTAAATTTTAAAGCATAAAAATATATAATACTTATTGTTGAGGAAATTATATTTATCAGCAAAGGTCAAGTACGATGTATACAAACATAAACAGTACAAATCGAAGCGCCTTCGCTTCAAACGTCGATGTTCTCCTTGTATTTTTCAGGTAGTTGTATCTCTATCCAACCGAAGCTTTCGTACTCATATTTCCCCCAGAATTTTTAGTTGTTTTCAATTCGATTTAAGTGTAAAATGTATCAAATTTTCGACGCGAAATTCTAAATACTTTATTTATATTTTGCAACATTGCCGAGCATGCGTAGAACTCACGTTGGAAATTCAACGTGAACAATTCGATTTCTCCAGAGCTATGCCCACCCTTAGCCTGCGAACGGGCATGCTCGGGGAACGAGATTGCGACAATGTCGCAATTAAGCAGAACGTGGAATGAGAATGAGCTGGCTAAGCCTTTATTGATTTTGTAAATTAGTTTGACATAATAAATTGAATTGAATTGAAGTTTTCCATTATTTCCGGAATTTTGCGCGCGGAGCGGAATTTTTATTTATCTTTTCTAATTAGTTCCACCCGAGAAATCACAAGACTTGCAAAGAAAAATTCCGCTCCGCGCGCAAAATTCAGCCTAAAGAGTAAAGGTCGTTTTCCACTAGGCGGAATTTTGCGCGCGGAGCGGAATTTTTCTTTGTCTTTTCTAATTAGTTCCACCCGAGAAATCACAAGACAAAGAAAAATTCCGCTCCGCGCGCAAAATTCCGCCTAGTGGAAAACAGGCTTAAAGGCCCAAACAGACCGGACATGAATTGGCAACGCGACGCGAATTTTCAGTTTTCAAATACAAATAAAACCGTCAACGGATAAAAATTTTACAAGATAAGCAGACCAAATAGCTAAAATTGCTTAAGTGAAAGATGAAAATTCGCGTCGCGTTGCCAAATCGCGTCCGGTCTGTATGGGCCTTAAAGGCCGTTTTCCACTAGGCGGAATTTTCCGCGCGGAGCTGAATTTCTCTTTGTCTTTTCCGTAATTAGTTCCACCCGAGAAATCACAAGACAAAGAAAAATTCCGCTCCGCGCGGAAAATTCCGCCTAGTGGAAAACCGGCTTAATGGAAAACAAGCTTTTGCTTTACATAACTCTTTATATATAAGTGTCACGAGTCCACGGCGACTGAATCGAACCCGAGGTGAAAGGCGCTTGCCCAGACGGCTGCGCCACTGGAGCATCTGCCAGTTCTGGTTTATCACTTTTATGTCAGATATAACATGATAGCTCTATGTCAAAAATTGCGTTGCAAATTGCTCGGCAAATTGCAGCAAAAATTGTGTCGTGTAACATAGCAGACACAGAATGACAGACTGATTCTTGAAGTTACTGACGGTGATAGTGGTGAACTGTGGGGAAAACTGGGGATAAATTCATTGTATAAGCACAAAATACAATTAATATACCTCCTCCGCAAGGGACAATTCCCATTCCAACTTCCATCTGCATGAACACGGCTTTACCACGTGCCGCAAACCTCATGTCACATGCAAGCATGAATTCATGACCACCTCCCCTGGCCATTCCTTCGACTTTCGCGATGGTGGCTTGAGGAAGCGAACTGATTCGCTGGAGAACTTGCTGCAGGTACAAAATTGGCTCAGATCTACTGCGTTCTGTAGCGGGTATTTCACAAAGCATATCGATATCGGCGTGAGAAACGAAGATGTCGGGATGTGCTGATTGAAAGACAACCACTTTAATCTCGCGATCCGATTCTAGAGCTTCAGCCAAGCGGTTGAGATCGTCCAACATTGGTTTGCCTTGTACATTGACGGGAGGGAAGTCAAATGTAACCCAGGCAACACCGTCTTTTAGCTCCACCTTGAATGTTTTGTAACTCTGGTATGACATGTTCTATGAAATATAATGTTGAACGGTTTTTGCTAGTGTAGGTATTGTGCCAATGATAACAGAACTTCGGCTGATAGAGATACAACTAGCTGAGAAGTATAAGGTCGGACGTTTCGAGCGAAGGCCTTCGAAGATCCCACTACATTACATTACTTTACATATCATTGGGGCTTTTCAGTGACCGATTACATCAAATATTACGCTCATGTTACTTACTTAGCCTATATTACTATATATAGACTATTTATCTTTTAATAGGTTTGTTTGTGGAAACACTACGTATATTTATTACTGCGGTAATAAATTTACGCGGTGCTTCGACAAACAAAACTATTATTTGTTTTATCGCCAGATAAAACTACTTACCGTACCACTTTTTTGGTTCTTAGCTACCTAAATAGGTAGTCCAAGAACCAAAAAAGTGGTACGGGTACCAAAAATCGAGCGTAGTGTAAACGGGGCTCGAAATTGAGGTGGGATTCGGGATTTTAAGAGAAATATTGGTCGGGAAGCGGAATTTTCAGTTCCATCGCGGAAAGCGGGATTAAATAAAAATATCATGGCGATATGCGGGAAGTAATTCACGATTAGCGGGATCAGATATCGATTTACACGCATGATTGCGGCTTTTAGAAGAGTCGCAATGTAGAGTCATTTATTATTTTAAACTTTGTTGTATTGTATTCTAGTGTATTCAAATGGTATTCTATGTCGTTACCATGTCTTTGAATACCTGGTTATCCGTTGTCCTGATCTAAATCATAATACTTTGAAAAGTGTTAGAAAAAAAGTTGGGAGCGGGAAATTGTGATGAGGCATGGCGGGATAACGGTCCGGGTTTGAAGTGAAAAGTGGTCTGGATGGCGGGATTTCGCAACCTGGTAAAGGGCCCTCCACCAAAGCCCCCACCATTCTCGTACCCAGAACCCTTCTTACGCGCAGTGTGACGAGGGGCTTTGGCCAAATCCATAACCGGATACCGTAAAAACATGGTAAGAAAACAATATCCTGTGTTATAACTAGCCAATCAGATGCCAGTTCGAAATATGGATTTGGCCAGAGCCCCTCGTCGCACCGCGGGTAAGAAGGGCTCTGGGTACGAGAATGAGCCCCCACTAAATCCCGACCATACCAATCGCGAAACCAGAGACCACAATCCTCTGTGGAGGCTTTTTGGTTTCGAGATTGCGACCATACATGTAGTTAATGTCCCGACGAAGGCCGGCCTTCGCTCTACACGTCGAGGTCCTCCTCGTATTGTTCAGGTAGTTGCACTGGCCCTATCAACGAGTTAATATATTCGAATATTTTTTATTTAATATATTCGCCCAAATCAGTTTATAAAATTAACAATTTAAATAGAAAATATTTACAATAGTAGGGCTAGGAACCTTCAAGAAACCATAAGGCTTTTGTTTAAGGTCCCTAGTTACAATTCAAATAATATAATATTAAAAGTTAATACTCCAATTGTTTTCAAAGGAATTACGGTGATATATTTACAATAAGGTGAGTGCGTAAAAGATATATGATCAGACTATTTGGCTTAACAATTATAACAATTATTTGGCTTTTCACTTTGTGCCGAGAATTCTACTTATTTAAATTTGACAGAAGAAAATATAATATATTTTCATTGTAGATTTAAATATTGGAAGAGATCTAATTTGCTTATATTGCGTCGGAAGATTATTCCACACATCGATGCCGTTATTACCGAGCGTGTGTTTTTTATAATTTGTTCTAGTACAACTTTTGTGGAGCAATGATGCGTTTCTTGTGTTGTAATTATGGATTTCTTTGTTAGTTAAAAAATATTTATCAAAAATTTCTGGAAGATTTTGTAGATGAAAGTATCGGAACATAAATAGACTTGTTAAGAAGTCATTCAATTTATACAAGTTTAGTATTTTAATAAGGTCATTAAAAATTGGTTCAGTATGGTCAAAATAGGATTTGAAGGTCATTAATCTTACTATCTTTTTCTGGATATTTACTAATTTTTGAATGTGGGATTTGTAAGCGTTACCCCAAACTAAATTACAGTATATAAGATATGGATAGACCAATGCGTAATAGATCAGTTTTAAGGAATTTAGGTTTATAAAATGTCGTATTCTGGATATAATAGCTGTACATTGTTTTGAAATAAGATCTATATGATCGCACCATGATAAAAATTCACCTATAACAATCCCTAAAAACGTAGTTTTTTTACGTGTTTTATAGTTTCGCTATTTATAGAAATTCTTAAATCACATTTAGGTTTCTTATTTTTTGATCTGAAAAGATCAGCTTGGTTTTCGCAGTGTTTATAGATAATTTATAAACACGAGATTACGAGATTACAAGCGTTCTTGTTCATTGATGCGTACAGTCAGGTCAAATAATACTATGGCCCGGACATGTTTATCAGACATTCAAATCTGCAATGCTTGAATTTATTAGCCTCCAACACACCAAATGAGAATCCAAATGAGTCAGGGTTTTTAAGTTGGAATTACTCAAGATAAGTCACACAATAAATCAGGACAATCAGTGCATACACGCCAACAACATATTAGATCTAGCTCGTATTCTCGTAGTAAAATCTAAAGCTCTCTGTTGGACACTGCCGATTGTTTCAATAGTTCTAACATTAAAGTAACTTAACCAACTTTATTTATACTAGATGGCTTTATCGGCTCTAAACTGTTCTCTTTGGGGTCTTAGACGTTCTGCCTTCTGCATGGTCATTCCAATTTAGCACCGTGTTATTGCAGAAGGAAACTAGCGGACCGAAAGCACTCAGCGGCAAAGCGGCTCCTCTAATGCGACAGACTGATGTGAAATGACAGTCAGATAACTGCAGGAATGGAATATCGCTCGCGGGCCAGAAAGGCATATTATGTAACAATCGGCATGTCTGCGTCAACCCTTTCAACTGAAGGTTAGTTTGGTGTCAAACTGGGAATGGTCTTTTGCAAAATTATTCGCCGTCTGATCATCACTAAGAGTCCAACCTAAGGTTGTGTTGCCCTCATACTAAACCTGTATGTATTGAAATAAATACATCTTAGATGCCTTACCAAATAGTTGATCCAAGTGAGTTCAATGTCTCGATCTTGGCGGATGTGTTCTTGTCGGAATTCGAGGTGTTCTTGTCGAAATGAACTCGAGTGGTAATCCGGCTGCCGGTGGTAAATTATTGCGTGGGAAGTATAATTAGTTAATTACATAGTCTTTTACAAAACAATAGGCCCTTTCAAGGTTTATTCCGCCATATTGCCGGGGGTGCAAAACATTGGGGCGAGCACGCGGCCAAGCCATGGCTGGCATATATTTTACTAATGAGTGAGCGATAATTTTGTGTGGACATTTTGTTGATTTTCTCATGCTAAATTAAAAGATAGTCCAAACTGTTGTATTCTGGCTGATCTGTGTGTGTTTTCAAAGTACTGGTAAAGATTTCAATGGAATCTGATTGGGGGAAATCCGTAAATATGCTGATTTCTTCGACACCTTTCGGCGAGCTGTTTACAGTGGATTCACGACAACGAAACGCCAAAAACAGGGCTTTTATGTCTGTGTTTGTTTAAACAAAACAACATTACAAAAGAATCATGTTTAAAAACAATACAACAAAGCTGTCGGGAAAGAAGAAAGACGTCCAGGTGCGAGAGTGTAACATGACACCGATGTCAATCTCACCTTTAATTATATGACATACTATTAGTAATTAGATATGAGATAAACTTCTAAAAGTAGGCGAATCCAATGGGTGTATAATATTGAGAGATATTGAGAGTTTCAGTTGTTCTCATAGTCAGAACCACCCCCATAGCCAACTGCATGAGAGCAAAACACAAGCAGAAGGAACAGTATCTACAATGCTGTTCAATAATCTTAAAAGGTGCCTGAAGTTTTGATATTTTTTTGTGACTATCAATCAAATTCATCAAAGTAGCACAAGAAACTCATCAAAACTTCACAAGTAGTATAAAAGAACAAATTATGTAAAACATATTCTCTCTAAATAATGGAGTTGATGTATGGAACTCACTAGAATAAAAAAATAAAGACATAAACTCTCAATACATCTTCAAAAAACAAATTAAGCAGCATTTTTTTATGAAAACATTCTATTTGCATATTATTCTATTTGCATGTTATTGTTCCTCTATTACTCTGAAAATTCTTTCTCTGATTTGACTGTAAAATAGAATAATACTGATATTATAAATCTAACAGTTAACTATAAACCTTTACTAATCACTAGGGGCCTAAAGCAAAAAGCCTGACAAGGTATCTAGCAGGTCTTTAGCCCAAATTAATATAAGGAAAAATATGTAAATATTGTCTATGGAACTGTACATAGGGGAGAAAAATTAAAACTAAATAAATAAATGATAAGGAAACTCTTTTATTGGTAATATTTCTGTCCTCAGGTTTTCTGGGGTCAAATTCTTTCCTCAATGTTTAATCACAGCCAGGTGTTTGGTCTAAAAATTAAATTTTTAACCTTGCTTGGATTTACTTCTTTTCATGTTCCTTTGTTCCATCCTTGGGGAACACTGGTACAGGCACACAGGCAGGGGAAATATATTGCTTGTTGTAAGCATAGTTGATCTTATACATAGAGGACTACAAGTACATGATTACATGCCTCAACTGTTCTAGCTGTTCAAGGACACACATCCACACTTTTATATGTGAGTCATCACAAATCCTTTGTGATGGACATACTGAGCTTTACAAAAAATGTCATGGTCTTGTCAATGGTGCATTTGGCAACATAAATTATATCAACAAATCCACTCATCCAATATGAGTAGGCCCTCTCATCTTTGTATTTGCCAATCCACTGCATTTACTCGTAGAATGTACCATTCCATCATCAACATGTGGCCATGTTTGAATGTCATCTTTTCAATATTCATTGCAGAGAGTGTTAGGATCGCTCTTAATAATATCATTAGTTTGTAGCCTTTGTTGGTATTCCTTCTTAATTAATACTATCAAAAATTTGTTCCTGTGTAAATTTCTTTGGAGCACCCAATTCATACGCTTTAAATGCTCTTGCCACAAGTTCAACCTTTTCCCACTCTGTCAACCGGACTCAACCCAACGAAATCCTCGTATTCAAGCTTCTCCTTTGTAGCCATAAATAGCCAAAGTAAAAGGAATATTTGCAATATAATCTTCTATGAGAACATAAAATATAAACAACTCAAACTCTCAATATCTCTCAATATATACCCTTTGAATTCGCTTACATTTATAAGTTTATCTCTAATATATCCATGTGATATAAAGGTGAGATTGACTTTGGATCAGGTTATACTCTCGCACCTGGACGTCTTCTTTCCCGACAGCTTTGTTGTATTGTTTTTAAACATGATTCTTTTGTAATGTTGTTTTTTTTTGAACAAATACAGACATAAAAGCCCTGTTTTTGACGTTTCGTTGTCGTGAATCCACTGTAAACAGCTCGCCGAAAGGTGTCGAAGAAATCAGCATATTTACGGATTTCCCCCAATCAGATTCCATTGAAATCTTTACCCGTACTTTGAAAATTCACACAGATCAGTCAGAATACAAAAGTTTGGACTATCTTTTAACATAGCATGAGAAAATCAACAAAACGTCCACACAAAATTATCGCTCACTCATTAGTAAAATATATGCCAGCCATGGCTTGGCCGCGCGCTCGCCCCAATGTTTTGCACCCCCGGCAATATGGCGGAATAAACCTTGAAAGGGCCTATTGAGAGCTTTTTTGCTTCAATGCGCAGCGGTAATTATTTCCCACTAGGAAATTTGTTCCCGTGCAGCGACTTTTTTCTTTAAATTTGTCGGCATTATTTACACGTCAACAAAAACGATCTCTTGAATTGCAAAGAAGCGATATGTTGGTTATAGGGCGGCCAAATTGTAACATAAAAAACGTAAAGATGGAAATATTTTATTTCAACTCACCGAAATTTGGACTTATGCATGAGTTATGGCCCAGAGGCAGAATACAGGGTGTATCAAAAAAAGCGCAACCTCGGAATTTCCCAAGAAATCGACATTGTTTTAAAGACAAAAGATTTAAGGCGCCTGGGAATTTAAAATAGCATAACTGTCAAAATTACTGCACACGCGAGTGCATAAAGCAAAATTTATGCATTTATTTAATGCACAACAACAGTAATATGATCTATTAGCAATTCGAACCTGGTAAAGGGCCCTCCACCAAAGCCCCCACCATTCTCGTACCCAGAGCCCTTCTTACGCGCGGTGTGACGAGGGGCTCTGGCCAAATCCATAACCGGATACCGTAAAAACATGATAAGAAAACAATATCCTGTGTTATAACTAGCCAATCAGATGCCAGTTCGAAATATGGATTTGGCCAGAGCCCCTCGTCGCACCGCGCGTAAGAAGGCCTCTGGGTACGAGAATGAGCCCCCACTAAATCCCGACCATACCAATCTCGAAACCAGAGACCACAATCCTCTGTGGAGGCTTTTTGGTTTCGAGATTGCGACCATACATGTAGTTAATGTCCCGACGAAGGCCGGCCTTCGCTCTAAACGTCGAGGTTCTCCTCGTATTTTTCAGGTAGTTGCACTGGCCCTATCAACGAGTTAATATATTAGAATTTTTTTTTATTTAATATATTCGCCCAAATCAGTTTATAAAATTAACAATTTAAATAGAAAATATTTACAATAGTAGGGCTAGGAACCTTCTAGAAACCATGAGGCTTTTGTTTAAGGTCCCTAGTTACAATTCAAAAAATATAATATTAAAAGTTAATACCAGTCCAATTGTTTTCAAAGGAATTACGGTGATATATTTACAATAAGGAAAGTGCGTAAAAGATATATGATCAGACCATTTGGCTTAACAATTATAACAATTATTTGGCTTTTCACTTTGTGCCAAGAATTCTACTTATTTAAATTTGACAGAAGAAAATATATTTTCATTGTAGATTTAAATATTGGAAGAGATCTAATTTGCTTATATTGCGTCGGAAGATTATTCCACACATCGATGCCGTTATTACCGAGCGTGTGTTTTTTATAATTTGTTCTAGTACAACTTTTGTGGAGCAATGATGCGTTTCTTGTGTTGTAATTATGGATTTCTTTGTTAGTTAAAAAATATTTATCAAAAATTTCTGGAAGATTTTGTAGATGAAAGTATCGGAACATAAATAGACTTGTTAAGAAGTCATTCAATTTATACAAGTTTAGTATTTTAATAAGGTCATTAAAAATTGGTTCAGTATGGTCAAAATAGGATTTGAAGGTCATTAATCTTACTATCTTTTTCTGGATATTTACTAATTTTTGAATGTGGGATTTGTAAGCGTTACCCCAAACTAAATTACAGTATATAAGATATGGATAGACCAATGTGTAATAGATCAGTTTTAAGGAATTTAGGTTTGTAAAATGTCGTATTCTGGATATAATAGCTGTACATTTGATAATTTTTTTTGAAATAAGATCTATATGATCGCACCATGATAAAAATTCATCTATAACAATCCCTAAAAACGTAGTTTTTTTACGTGTTTTATAGTTTCGCTATTTATAGAAATTCTTAAATCACATTTAGGTTTCTTATTTTTTGATCTGAAAAGGATCAGCTTGGTTTTCGCAGTGTTTATAGATAATTTATAAACACGAGATTACGAGATTACAAGCGTTCTTGTTCATTGATGCGTACAGTCAGGTCAAATAATACTATGGCCCGGACATGTTTATCAGACATTCAAATCTGCAATGCTTGAATTTATTAGCCTCCAACACACCAAATGAGAATCCAAATGAGTCAGGGTTTTTAAGTTGGAATTACTCAAGATAAGTCACACAATAAATCAGGACAATCAGTGCATACACGCCAACAACATATTAGATCTAGCTCGTATTCTCGTAGTAAAATCTAAAGCTCTCTGTTGGACACTGCCGATTGTTTCAATAGTTCTAACATTAAAGTAGCTTAACCAACTTTATTTATACTAGATGGCTTTATCGGCTCTAAACTGTTCTCTTTGGGGTCTTAGACGTTCTGCCTTTTGCATGGTCATTCCAATTTAGCACCGTGTTATTGCAGAAGGAAACTAGCGGACCGAAAGCACTCAGCGGCAAAGCGGCTCCTCTAATGCGACAGACTGATGTGAAATGACAGTCAGATAACTGCAGGAATGGAATACCGCTCGCGGGCCAGAAAGGCATATTATGTAACAATCGGCATGTCTGCGTCAACCCTTTCAATTGAAGGTTAGTTTGGTGTCAAACTGGGAATGGTCTTTTGCAAAATTATTCGCCGTCTGATCATTACTAAGAGTCCAACCTAAGGTTGTGTTGCCCTCATACTAAACCTGTATGTATTGAAATAAATACATCTTAGATGCCTTACCAAATAGTTGATCCAAGTGAGTTCAATGTCTCGATCTTGGCGGATGTGTTCTTGTCGGAATTCGAGGTGTTCTTGTCGAAATGAATTCGAGTGGTAATCCGGCTGCCGGTGGTAAATTATTGCGTGGGAAGTATAATTAGTTAATTACATAGTCTTTTACAAAACAATTGAGAGCTTTTTTGCTTCAATGCGCAGCGGTAATTATTTCCTACTAGGAAATTTGTTCCCGTGCAGCGACTTTTTTCTTTAAATTTGTCGGCATTATTTACACGTCAACAAAAACGATCTCTTGAATTGCAAAGAAGCGATATGTTGGTTATAGGGCGGCCAAATTGTAACATAAAAAACGTAAAGATGGAAATATTTTATTTCAACGCACCGAAATTTGGACTTATGCATGAGTTATGGCCCAGAGGCAGAATACAGGGTGTATCAAAAAAAGCGCAACCTCGGAATTTCCCAAGAAATCGACATTGTTTTAAAGACAAAAGATTTAAGGCGCCTGGGAATTTAAAATAGCATAACTGTCAAAATTACTGCACACGCGAGTGCATAAAGCAAAATTTATGCATTTATTTAATGCAAAACAACAGTAATATGATCTATTAGCAATTCGATTTCAATTCCCAGGGGCCTAAAATCTTTTATGCTTAAGAATTGCAAAGTGATTTCTTAGGAAATTCCGAGGTTGCGTTTTTATTGATACACCCTGTATATCAACATATGTTACAACTCAAACAGATGGTTGTCCAATACTGACGCATGCATACGGATCGTTCGTTTCGTAAAATTTTGGCTACGGATGGAAGACTTGTTTTGTCGTAACGATTGGTAAGGACTGAACGTCGATCCGTACGATTGGTAACGGATCGACTGGGAATTGACGATCGGAAAATATGAATTGTCGATCCGTGAATCTAGTGCTCAAGCGTTCGAGTGTCTAAGGGAGGCTTTCAAAATGTTGTCGATCCGTACCATTGGTAACGGATGGACAGGGAATTCACGATCGGAAAATATGAAATGTCGATCCGTGAATCTAGTGGCTAAGTGGCTAAGGGAGGCCTCCAAACTGTTGTCGATCCGTATCATTAGAGAGTTTTAGCAAGGAGTACGAGTACGACTACGAGTACGAAATTTGACCGCTAGCGGCCTGGCACGAGGAAGTCGTACTCGTAGTCGTTTCCGTTCAAATGTTGCTTTAGCAGTAAACAAACGAATTGCGACAACGAGTACGAGTTTTGTTTAATGGCTGTCAGCAATAACTCGCTTTTTGATGCAGCTACGGCTCTATTTGTCAATGATATTATTGATGAATCGGAGTTCGTAGCTTTATACGTCAATACAAAAACAAAATCACCGGAATTTCAGTACTGGGAGTACCAAAAAGTCGAGATGCAGCTGCAGTACATGACCAACGATGAATGCAGATCGGACTTCAGAGTGGACTTGGCAGATCTAGCTGTCTTGGCAGAAGCTTTGAGAATCCCGGAGAAGTTTGTTTGCCCCAACCGGACGGTGGCAACAGGGATGGAAGGTCTTTGCGTTGCTCTTAGGCGTTTTGCTTATCCCTGCAGGTTCAGTGACATGATACCTCGCTTCGGTCGCTCTGTTTCAGAGTTGTGTTTGATCGCTTCAGAGGTGACTGACCATATATATAATACACATGGTTATCTTTTGACCGATTTAAACCAACCTTGGCTTCATCCTGATCGTCTTCAAGAATATGCTAACGCAGTTCACGACGCTGGTGGCGCTTTGGAGAACTGTTGGGGATTTGTCGATGGCACAGTAAGACCTATCTGTCGCCCTGGAGAAAACCAGCGCGTCATGTATAATGGCCATAAACGTATCCATGCCATCAAGTTTCAATCTGTTGTGGCACCTAATGGCCTTATTGCAAATCTTTATGGTCCAATAGGTACATTTTATATTAAATAATATAGTGTAATGCATTACTTATTTCCTACAGTGTCTAACCATACAGTATATTCTTATAGTGTATGGATTTAATAATTTTTGCATACACTTATATATTTTATAGTACTTATACTTTATATACTTAATATATGTGCTTTTGTTT